ACCACCTTCCTGCTATTGCTTAAAAGTTTCAAAAAAACAACACCATGATAACAGGAGACCAGATAAATGGAGTTAAGCTATGCTACAGAGAAATGAAAAAGGTTGAGGGTATCACGACTTTGTGGAGGGACATGCCGTAACTGAATGAAGTGCATTATCTTTTATAATTCCTATATTCAGTGGCAAAGTGCTCTTTTTACCGTTCTATCTGACTTCGTTTTACAATTTCCATTTCTTATTCGCTTTCCTCTGTCCCGGTAATCCATTCTTCTTCGGGCTAATTTCGGTAAAAGTGAAAGGTGCAGAAAAGAAAAATGGAAAAAAAAAAAAGAAGGGAAAGTGTTTGCTTCCCCGCAAAGCAACATCCCACCCTCTCCTACTCGGAACCTCGGCCGCAACTTTTAGTGTTTTCAGCAAGAGAAACCAACCAGTTTTTTAGCACCGTGTTTAGAACCCACGGCATTTGCGGCTACACCACTCCTCAAAGTAGTTGTCTGCAAAATTTCAAGAGGTGCCTCAGGCACTGTTTCCAAAAAAGGTTTACTTAACTTTTGTCTGCTACACTGTGGAAAGCTTCTAATTTGAATAGGCAAGGCCACTCAATAGTTGATCATTGGTAGGTGAGCGAGCAATTATTTAACGGACAGAGACATGAGGTAGTGGGCAGTGACGGTGGTTCGCCCATTAACGACTCTGAAAAATGACTTGTTTATGTGTTGTGAAAATTGGTGTCGTCTGATCTATCCTTTGGAGGAACTGTTGGAAGTGACACTCTACAGCACTGAGGAAGTATGGAAGTACTGCTGCTTGCCGGAAAGAATGAGGATACCTGACCGTAAAAGAATTCTGCGAAACTTTGAGTTCTGGTGGTGGGTTCGACTGTATGCAGTTGTTTGCAATCTTTACGAAATGATCCAACAGTCTTGTTTGTTTTTTCTGGCATTCCATCGATAAAAAATTGCTTTTATTTTTATTTTGAATATTACTTTACAACTTTTTTTTACTTTCTTTCCCTTAGACAGAGGAGTGCAAAGGATTGGGGGTAGACATCGGTGACGGGAATGGAGTTTCTTTTACAAAGATGAGAAGTGGGAGGAGAAGCTTTCCTTAAGGAGTGACAGAGATAGCGCAGCTCTACTGCTTGTGTAAGAAATCGCTCGTACTCGACATTCTGCAATTTTCATTCTTGAAATGCGTCATCCAGCTCCTATTAGATCTAGGCCAAGGAAGATAATAAAGTGTGGAGGAAGAATCCTAAAAGTTTTAAAAGTAGTTCCAAAAGTCCTTGTTTCCTCTTTGACACTGACCGATTATTAATGGTCACTTACTCGATTGGTTATCACAGACGATACTGAATTACCTGTGATATGCGCTAAACCATAAAATTTCCGAGTAGCTAATATCGCTTTCATGAAATTGACGGTGTTGAAGTGACAAAAGTCTTAGAGAGATAGTGAATGCTTCGGATGATGGTTGAGCAGTCTGAAGTTTAAGGTTGGTTTTAGAATTTGAGGTGGACTACGAGAATGGGTTGATATAAAAATTGACAGTTTCGAGGCTCTCTTGTCTTTTTTTTCTGTGCAGAAATTTTAAAAATAAAAAGTTGTTGTATACATACATAGTTTTCTTTTACTCCTCGGTTAGTAAGGTTGAAAGCAATTTGCAAAAGTGGACGCTCAGGACTGGTAAGGAAGGAAGGCATTGTTAAAATTTTTTTCAGAAAGAGAGCAGCAAGTCGAAGGAGTAAAAGGAAATTGGAAGAAGCTGCAAGGGTTGGTATTTTGGAGGTTTTCTCGTCTATGATAACCAGTCGAGTAACATTCTAATTGTGTTAGATTGACATATGAAATCAGATACGCAGTTGTGGAAAAAATTAGTGTTTTCACGAAAAAAAAGCGATTCGCCAGTTAGAAAGGTTTAAGTTTCATTGCTGCATAAGTTTTGCCAATTTTTCTTTTCGACTCATCAGTAGAGAGACTTGTTGAAGAAGGAAGTTATTTATTAAAGTTCTTTGTTATTTTGCGGTTCCTTACTGCTCTGCTTCCGGTCGTCTTTCCGTTTCTTCGGGCTTTCTCGCATGAAAGGGCGAGAATTGTGGACAATTGTAATTTCCCAATCTTCGTTTCTAATTTTATATATATTTTTCTTGACTTTGCTCCATCCAAGGAAGAAGGTTGTATAAAGAATTGCTGAAAAGCTGTAAAAGATTGGAAACAGGTTTTTTTTTTCCTGTGTGACTCCTGGAAATATTACGAAGGTTATAAACGCTGAATACTTTATTCCCAAAAACAACTGAAGTGGACTGAAGAAACTAGTAATATGTAGTCATAGTTTGGCCGGAATTGTCATTTGTGTAAAGAGAAATCATTTGAGTAGCATATGATTTTGATTTTGTCACACCTGATAAAATTTTTTTTGCTTTTTCGCATTACTATGGCAACTTTTGCATGTACTTGTAGGAAATATTTGGGAGCTTAGAAAACTGGAATGGCTACAATGTTACTATCTAAATTAGTGGTTTCATGACAGTTATGAAGCCGATTGACCAAAAATGTGTTGACAAAGTACTAGTCGTTTTGTAAATTCAATTTTCAGAGACTTGCTTAGACAGTTGATTAATTTTTTACTGTTGATTGTGATCCTTATAAATCACAGAAGTGCACTGTTCTAAGCTCCTAGTGAACTACAATTACTGTGCAACTTCTTATCACCAAGAAGACCAGCCGAGGATTAAGTGTACTATTGCAGGTGTAGCTGGGCGTAAACTGAATATCTTTTGATGTTTTTCTAAAATTTCCAGGATACAATTTTTGATTTAGTATTTTCTTAAAAAGTCTCAAGGAAAGAAATAGATTATTACCCTTTTTATTTAATTTAATTTGTCCTCCTTTTCAAATATATACTTCTTTAAATTTGTTTTGCTTTGAAGAGAAGTACTCTATTTTGACTGCTCTTCTAGTTTTCAAATGGTTTGACTTGAAACTTTAATGGTAAAAATGCTGCTTTTGACACAGTTTAATCTATGCTTCTTGACCTTCTAAGTTTCCGAGTGGCTCACAAAGGAAATATTTTGTTGCTTCTTGTTTGAGATTTTGATTCATCTTACCATTTTTTTACGATACTGATTCGGCCATTGTAGTCTAAGGATGTCTTTATTTTCAGCTTCATTAAGGCATTTTTGAGGCTTTTCATCCATCATTTGAGACAACCTTTGCTCCTTTCACTCTATTTCGCTATTCTGACAGCATCCCTTTTGTCAGACTTTTTTAACTTTTAGAAGTAACCAAAAAGACCTTTACGTTGATTTTTTTGACTTTTCTTTTTTTAAGGACCTGGCACCTTGACAACGGCTGCTTTTCCGTTTCCGTGTACAATTCCAGAAGACGGAAATCAGGACCGCGATGGTGGTGATGATACTGACCTTGAGCAGTTTCAAGATGCCTTTGACACACCTCAGACGTTAGTTAGCAAAGACTCCGTTTTATTTGGTTTTTTGGCAAAATACAGTGAAGTACAACCGCTTAAACGCAACAGCGCAAAATCGTCTCTACTTTTTATATTTTTTGTTTTGAAGGATAAGAACTTAAAATTCTGAAAAATATTTGAGGTCAGTAATGATTAAGAGTTGATATTAGACTTTTGTGCTCTATAAGCGAGGTAAAGGAGATTTTAAATTATTTGGTACTTGTACACTTCCTTAGTAGACTGGTTTAGACACAGGATTTTTCTGATTTCGCTTACGTTTATAATTATTTGGTAGAGCTTTGATCTCTTAATCGGTTTACAAATATTTTCACGGCTTCAAAAAACAGATCGTATCAGGCGTTACTATATGTAATACTGTTTTTGCAGTGGGAGCCATAAGGGAATTGTATGAGTTAAGTTAGGGGTTAAACTGAGTGTTGTAACAGCAATTTGGAACGTAGCTCCTTAGAACATCAAACTAAAATTGATGAAACGATGGAACAGAATAGTACGGTGAGTTCTGCCACTCAGACTTGCAAAAGGTAGGAAAAAAAGCCAATTTTGATGCCTAACAATTACTAAGACCGCGATGAGACTAAACTGTGTTTCTTCATTTCCGGTCCAGAAGAATTTGGGCCTCTGCAGTCTTAATAGCATTGCTTTTCCTTTAAGAAACTTGCTGATTAATAAGGGTATAAGAATTTAATGACGTATTTAAAGGTGGGGAATACTGTCTAAGTATGAATCGAGCAGTTTTGACTGGGATGTTAAGCTGATAGTTAACGCTGATGACAGGGTGACTTACTGGTGGATCAGGTTCGGACTTCAATATAAAACAGCTCTTTGTTCGTAGAGGATAAGGAGCGCAGAGAACTGATTGTAATTGAAGTATAGAAAATGCATTTTTTTCTTTTTTAATTGTTAGGCTTAAGTGATAATTTTTAAAGTGTAGTAGCAGGTGGGTCACTGTTTAGAAGAGGTTTATTGTATTATACTGGAAATTTAGTTTGTAGTAAATAACTTTTAGGAGGAAAGGAGACCGTATTTGATTGAAAAACCAATTTTTTTTTGGTAACTACAAGTATTAATCTTTTGAGACGGCTTTTCTGGTAGAAGGCCTGCCGTACGGGACGACAGAAAATGGTGATGAAATTTTAAATTCAGAGAGAGCAAAAATGAACGATGACTAGAATTGTGCTTTTGGTTTTAACGAACAAGTTCTATAAGGCACTCAGTTGAACCTGTGTGGGCTTACAGGAAATAAGATGAGGTGAATCACAAAAGCACAGAAATTTTGAATTAATTAGAAGCGAAGAAAAAAGGAGAGTTACAGAGCAATTCACAAGGAAATTGTTAAGGGGTTTTAGACGACTCGGAATTTAGGAAGTTTAGAGTCTGCAATATTTAGCAAGGTTGGAAGTTGGTAAATAGTGAGTGCAGCTATGAATTTTTGTGTGTTTCTTAAATGTAGGTGCAATTTTATGTTACTTTAAAACTGTATTACCTATTCGTCAATATATAATTCATATCATTTTCTGGTTAATTTATCGTACTGTATTCGCTACAGTTTTAGGTATGACCCCACTACTTTGCTAGATTCTATTGGTGAAGCGCGCAAAGCGCTAGATCTATTTTTAAATAATAAGTTTGAGGAAGCCGAAGGAATGATAGCGGAATTGTAAGTATTCTTACGTTTGTCACTGGAAACGCTGTTGCGGAAATGATCTATAACCCTTGATTTCTATTAAGGTTTGCTCTTTGTTTTACTGCCACTAAACTTCTTATCGAGGCTTATGCGTTTCAGAGCGGAACGTAGTATGTACCATGCGCTAACGTACAGTTCGATTATATCGCTTAGAGCTTTGATGACCTACACCAAAGTAAGTTTTGCACACGAGTAACAAAAATTTTTGTGATAAGTCAAAATCCATTCTTTTTTCTTTTAGGGATTGTATATGTTGCTAAGAATTTGTAGACTTTAATTTTCAAGGATGAAATAGAAGCAGCGCTTAAACAGATTAAAAAGTCATCGGCCGTCATCGAACGCTTTCGGATCAAATACACTTTCACAGACTCCATTTACCGTTTGGGTGGACAACCAAAGATTCAGACAGACGGTACTGAAGTATTTACATTAATTAAGATGTCTTATTATTGTCATTAAAGAGTGTAGTAGGTTTTAAAATGATTTTAAAGTAAATGCAATTAGGAACAATGTAGTATTTCGTGAAAAATTTGATTTTGTATTGAACTATGATGGCACTTTATCAGGTTTCTTTAACTGTACCTATTAAGGCTGCTAAGTACTCTGTGTACGGCTCTTTTAATTGAGTTTTCGATAAATTTGACATGTTTCTAGAGTCCCAAACAAAAGTCTTGTTAAATGGTAGCAGTATTTTCGTCCCGGCATTAATTTGTGTTTGACAGTTAGATTATAGATGTTTTTCTTTTTTGAGGTGGCAAAATGCTCTTTTTTTTTAGAAGAACTACACGCTGAATTATGCTATGCAGAGCTTCTTCTTTTCCACGCTGTCCTCACCTTTCTTCACGACGAAAGTCTAACGAATTTCATCCGCGGTGCTTTTCGAATTCGTTCTTGCTTTCAATCATTTCGGTAATTGGTTATTCATGTACATATTATATCATTCTTTTTAACATCGTTTTGCTTCAAAGGAAGTTTTTTTGTTTGTAGCGAGTGCCAGAAATTACTAAGATGTAATATTTGGTCAAATCGGGACATACGTGTTAAGAATCAGTTTGAATCGGGGACTCACCTTGGCGTTGGCACTTTTAACCTTTTATTATCGACACTTCCCGCTCGAATACTGAGACTTCTAAAAATTGTTGGCTATTCGGGCGACAAGGTAAGGGCCGACTTACACATACTTAGAGTTACAGTTATTTGGCAGGCAGTGGTGACTTTGACTGAGCATAAGGTTAAGCTAGTGCGTGTTTTATATGACGACGGAAGTGATCAGTTAGTTCATTTCACCAGACTTTTTTAGGAATAAATATTTTAAGGATTCTTTTTTTAGGTAGGAAGGCAAAATTCAGGATGCCATCATATTGTATTCAAACAAAAGTGAAGGTTGTTTTCAGATATCATATATTCAGTTTAGTCTACAACTTTAGCCAGAAATATCAAACAAAGATCTCTTCCACCTTGACCTTCGTCTCCAAGTTTTGATTTTTCATTTACCATCCAATTAACTTGTACGTTCACCTGCAAGGAATGTTTACAAACTTATAAGGTTGCGAGTTAAAAAGAAGTCTCTTTAGTTAGAATAGCTGCATCAAAGTTTCTGCTTAAAAATTTCAAGGTCTATTTCAAAAAATTACATGTTTAGCTTACCTTTGGGACGTAATCCTGAATTTTAACAGACTGGCTGTAGTAGTAGGTTTGCCCTTTTATCAGTGGGCAGGTCAAATTGGAATTTTTGCAGGCATTCGGGTTTTCCATGTAGAAAGGCACATAAGAGATTCCAATTTTAGCTTGAATCGTAGTTTCTAGTGCAGAAACTTTTCTGTCTAAAAAATTTAGTCGATTGCTGACTTATGCAAGTTTACAGTTCCTACCTATTTTCAAACCCTCAGATTTGCTCCTATTTGTAATATGGCATCAACTTGTTACGGAGAGCTTTACATATGGTCAACTACTTTGGCAATGTTGTATTATTCATGAATGCTGGTGGTTACCTTAAGCAGCACGTGAGATGATTAAAAAAGAGTTGAAAGAAAGGTGTTACTTGGTTTGAAGGTGATTCTTAGCCGCGGTTCAGATCCCCGTTTGAACGGGCAGTATTTAAAGTTGCCTGGACATCCTGCAGCTTCTACGTTTAAAATTTCAAATCGTGATTCTGAAATAGTGCTTTTCATCGCTAACAACAGTTTAGAGTTTTTTCTATTATAGATTTTAAGGCTCTCTTACTTTCAGCGCTTGCAAAGTTGCTGATGGGTTGACATAGGAAATAATTTCCTAAAGCAAGTAGCTTTTGCTGTTACAAGCTGTAAATAAGAATTCTTGTAGCTTTAAAAAGAAGATACTTTTAGTTCTTTGTTTTTTTCTAAGTGTATTTATGCGCTCTGAAAATTGGTAGGTGGTGAGTGAGAATTTGTTTAGAAAAGAATAGGCTAAAGATTGCGTCAAGAGATTACTGTAACATAGGTAGCCTTTGTTCTTCTAGCACTTTCTTCGCATATCGCCTTACTATCCTTGGCAGACTAAACAACGTTTTTTTTTCTGAATGGTTTACAGCTCACAGAGTTCCTACCGTAAAATGCGATGACTAGTTCGAGGTTACTCTTAATAATCCATATGGACTCAAAACCAAAAGAATGTACTGAAAAGTGAGAAGAGGGATTTAGATTATCAAAGGAATGGAACTAACTGCAGTTTTTGTAATTGATTGGTCTGAAATCGTCAGCTCGAGATGATAACAAGATAGTCGTAATCAGGAATATGCGGGCGCAAGATGAAAGCATTTCCAGTGTCTGCAAAGATTCTGAATGGCATAAATAGCAAGTTAATTTTTGGAGAACAGTTTTAGCAACGTCAGCAAGAGCAAATGATATGTTTCGTACAGTTGTTTGTTTTTTCCTTTACGTCTTCAGAACGTAGCATCAGTCGCTTTCTGCTGAGAACAGGATGTTCAAGCTTTAAAAGTTTAGAATGTTATCAGTACGTAGCGCTGAGAAAGTTTTAGCTGAGCAGAGAACTCTGCACTTTAGTCCTCTACTTTTCACCACTGAGGTTACATTGAGTAATGCAAAGAAATTCAATGAAAAATTATAATGTTTAAACCAAGTTAAGAAGAGCTGAACAGGTTACCAGTGCAAGAGAATAAGTCAAGGGCCACTTAAATAAGGCTCGTTTACGGTTGTAAGAATTAGATGCAAAGAAATTGAGACAATAATTGGTGGAAAGCAGTTGCGCGCTAGGTCTGTGTGCAAGCAAATAAAGTTGAGCGTTTTTCAGCAGTGGCAAAGACAGCAGATGTTTTGTAGCTACACGCTATTTTGCTGCGAAAAACAAATGTTTATGTTTTAAAATACGAAAATTATAAATAAATGCTATATTTAATCATTAATAACGCCAGTTTACATTCCACTTTTTTCTTTCCCCAGGAAAATACAAAAGCAATTTTATGACTTACAGCTGCTCGAAATTTTAGTCTTATTTTCCTTGTGTTTTCAAAAAAAATACGATAATAAGAACATAAGCGCTCTGCAGAAAAAAAAATAAGTGGAACTAAAATATTTTTAATTGTGTTAACAGTAGAATTTCTTACTTATACAATACGTGCAGGTATACTGGTTTAAACAGAAACTGATTAATTTGTGAATAAAATAGGAGGGTTAGGTTTCAAATTCATTAAAGGTTTCTTACAAGCTTCAGATATTACTCTAGTTCTTTCCGTATGCTTGCTTCTGGTGTAGTCGTGACACAAAATATTATTTCTTTTTTTAAGATCTTTATCATGAATATTGTTCATAGAGAAACTTTAGAATACGGGTATGTGCGAGTTGTTTGCTGGTGTTGCAATGCCAGGCACGCTACGGGCGACATTGTGTTCGCTGGTATTGTTAACGTGGCATCTGTTTGCAACGTTTTTTATTGGAGGTGAGTCACCGGACATTGGACTCTGTAACCGGCTGCTAAAACCATTGAAAAAGCGCTATCCCCAGGTTAGTTAATAATGTCGTTTCTTTTTTTTTTTTCGTAAAATTTGCTCGTTTTTTTTTTCAGTCATCAAAAAAATTTAGGGCGCTATAATATGCTTCTTAGAGGCAAGACTGGAATTGGCAGTCGGCAATAGTAAGGCAGCAGTAGAGTTGTATGAGAGGTCAATTAATTCACAAAGTCGATATCCGCAGATTCATCACGTTTGCTACTGGGAGTTAGTGTATGTTTTCTTTGCTGATCAGGGGAAGTTGTAATTTCTCTATGGAGCCTTCTGAGGGATTGACAGGAAGCTGCAGGAGGCAAACGAACTTAATTTCTCTTTCTTATACTTTAGAACCTTTCTGTTCATATTTCTGATGCAAAACAATTTCAGTTTTGTGCATTCTTTTCTGCACAGGTGGGTTGAAGCGATTTTGTATTCAAGGAGGCTCAAAAATGAAAGTAATTGGTCTCCATGTGTGTATTCCTACTTATTAGCAGTATTGCTCAGTGCAGGCGAAAAGTCGGAGGCAAAGAAAAAAGAGATCCACGAATTACTCCTGTATAATTCCTCTATTTACTGCACATCGTTTCTTAATTGCTTAATTTATGGAAATAAGAGGCCACCAAAGCGAATAACTGGTGAAATTTAGAAAAGTGCCACAGCTTATGATTCGAGTTTCCGGCAAATCAATACCACTGGAAAAATTTTGTGCTAGGAAGTCGGACCGTTTTGGACGATGTGGTTCTATTTTTCTGGCCCACTATGTAAGTATGTAGTTTTTCAAAATGCGTAAGTGATGCAATGAAAGGGTGGAAGTTAAACACCCTTCTTTTAGGAATTCTTATATTTATTGAGCGGATTTTCGATTATTTCATCCAATGCGAAAATAATTGAATCGACGATGGAGGATATTGACCGTGAATTTAAAATTGCTGGTGAAGAGAACTGTAAGCTCTTGTTGCTGTTTTTGGGCACGACTGTAATTTCTCTTGAGTGCTTCTACTGAATTAAAGTTTATGTCACCTGAACGTGATTATATAACTGATAAGTTTTCATTGCAGTAGATTGTGATGACAAGAGCCTGTACTACTTATTAAAAGGAGTTTGTTTACGGTATTTGGGAAGGATGGGAGATGCTGATATTTGCTTCAAACAAGTCTTAGAGCAGTAAGCGTCCCTAAGTTGCAATGTCAAATTTTTATTTCCATATCGAAGTTTGTTAACTTGGTGAATTTCAGGGAAGGAGACTTAGTCGATCATAAACACCTGCCGCCAAATGCTACTTTTGAGATGGCACTTCTGAGGATAAAACAGAACAAAAGGAAGGAAGCAGAAGAGTTGCTGGCAAAAGCGCGTTCCTACAAAGGTTACATGTTAGAAAATCGACTACACCTTCAGATCCATAGCGCCACGGAAGCTATAGGCGTTTGCACACCGCTTTCGCCCACGTTCTGAAAATCTTACTTGACGGTAATGATCGTTAATAACCGTGTTTTAGTGTTTCACTGTATCTCTTTAATTCTTCGTCTTGGCTCTGTACTGGGTTATAGCAAAATCGTACAACTTTTCGCAGCATAACCGGTCAAGCTGTTCCTGATAGTTTTGTGGTGGACGGGGAGGTCGCTCCGCTCCAGAAGCATTGCAAAAAAAAGCAACAACTATATTTAAACGGAGAATAAGAGAAAGCAATGCTTTCAGGACCACCTCCTAGATGTGAAAGACGGGTTGGGCGTTGGATGGAGGGTCTGATCAGGCAAGGCTCTGGTTTTGGCGTATGCAGTAACCATATTGGAAGGGACGTCTTTCGTAGACGATTACAACTCCCAAAGCCGATAACACGCCTCTATTCAACAATTTGTTTTACTTCCTTATTCGTGTACTTTACTAGTCCTGCCAATCCCTTGCTGTATTATTGAACGGTTTTAAACAACGCTGATACAAAGCTGCTTATTTTTCATTTCTTTTTACAACGGTTAGACACGGACGAAGGGGAAAGAGAAGTATAGTGGTTGGCTACAGCAAATCCACCGATGAACTCATGAAAACATCAGCTTCCTCATGCTTTCGACCGTTCGCTTTCCCTGAAAAAGTAAAAATTCACGGAGGTTTTGAAAGCCCGTGACAAAAAACTTACCGTTTCCCATAACGTGTCATCCCAACTGCGGAACAGTTTCTTGAACGGCACAGTCTCATAGCCTTGGTACACAGTCTGAATTTCTGCTCTTTTAGAGCGCGGTATTGAGTCAGTGTCCAAATATTGCTGAAAACCACTAGTTTCCAACTTTCAGCAGGTATTCCTCTCTAATGGGAGCAAATTTTGGCTCAAGACAGACGTCCAACCTGTGCTGTTTTTTCTGCGTGTTTCTTCTCTTCGACGTTTGCGCCTTCGCCTACCCAGACATACAAGGCATCTAATGCATCTAATATCATAACATCGTCGCCGTCCAGGTCCTTCATTCAGTTTTTGATCAGGCGATCAGTTTCAGTAGCCAGGCAAAAATTAGGTGACAAAATGAATACCTCTTGCGTAAAATTCGAGATTTCCTCAACAAGCAGCTTGCCACTTTTGTTACTGCATTGATATAATCGTGGCTCGAACTGCTTCGTCTTTTTGGCCCCTGCCCATTGCAAATCCCATTGAGTGAAAGATTCTGGTTCGGCGCCTTCCAAAACTCTTACAACTTGTACATGAGGTGGCTTTTTCTTAAAAACAACGTTCGCAGGAATTCCTCTACTTATTTAAAAACCGAATATTAAAACAACCTGTTCCAGCAAGAAGTTAGCTGCGTATTCCATAGCATGTTTCCTTTCATCCTTTGTACAATTCTTGCCAACCCAAACGAATATTCCCGCAACCCCAACATCCAGAATGTAGGCCTCCTATAAAAATACCAGTTAATGGATGGAAAGCTTCTAAGAAATACAGTAAACCGGTATTAAACTCTGTAGTCGTCTGAAAAAAGAACTCGGACCATTGAATTCAGCTGTGATCGTTTAAAGTTCCCCTTTGATACCAAAGTGACCTTCATTTTACCAGACGAGTCGCTAACTCTGAAGATTATTTATCAACACAACTGCAAGTATTCCCAGTATCAGCATGCCTTGAAATCAAGGAACTTACTCCCAGAGAGAAATTTCATCACGATGGGACCGCCAGTAGTTTTCATCATATCCATCCGCTTCGGCTGGTCTCAGCTTTTTTACGCTCGATAAACCACCAAAATAGCCCCAGAACTCTTCATTTGCATCCCAGTCGCTGTCTGAATAGTTTGAGAACCATTCATGTATTCTACTCATCCTATGACGTATTATGTAAAAGAGACAAAGAGAGAACGGTGACTTTTTCACTCACTCGGGGACTGACTTTCTGCGGTAGTGCAGAAATAGTCGTATCCAGAAACTTATTATTCGACATTAATTTAATCAAGTGGTACTATAAGGTACAGATCTAACCAATCTACCGTAAAAAATCGCTGCCGCCATTCCATGCAGTAATGCGCTCTTTCAATTATGCGGTTACGAATAGTATTGCTACTTATTCCGTAAGCGATATAAAAGTGTTAACAGCAACAGCTGCGTACTGAACTTTAATCGATAATCCTTACCAAGAACGTGAACTGTCGGTCGTCCAGAACGCTCCACATCCCTGATATTTTTGGCTTGTGCCATACCCTGTAACGTACTAAAGCTGGGTGAACAGCAGCATCGTACTGTTTTATGTTAGCTTCTTTGACCTACTTATCTGTACCAGTTTTAACTTTAAGAATAAAAAGACCAAAGAGACGTTTAAACCTCTAGGTAGATTTTTTATTATGATGGCCCTAGAGTAAGAGGCTTATGAAAGGCCGAACTTCCTAGCTGGGTGCAGTAACTTAATGACTAATATCTCATGTGTCGGACCCGATCTTGTTGTAGCGCATTCGTTGTACCCTGACGAAAAATACTACCGCATAGGACTATTCTGTTCATGAAATAATCTACCCCTAGCAATGAAATACTGTATATGTTACTAACCTACAAGCGCTATCTCATCAACGCGTTAGTTCACCTAAAGCAAGATAGACTTTTTAGTTCTGTGTTTCAGTCACGATTTCCTAAAACACTATCTGTAGTATCTAGAAGGAAAGGAGTTTGCAAAGGTAACAATATGTCAAAAACTGAACGTCAAAAAAGACAAAAACACTCCCAAATATGTCTAATAAATAATATATAAGCAGAAAGCAGTCAAAATATTGCCTTCCGTATGCACCTTTACGCTTCCGAAAAACGTTTTTAAAAAACACCTCCCTCAAACGCTTTTTTTCTAACAAGTTTTGCAAATAAAATATCCTATTTTGTTCACTTGATTTTGCGCTTATTTGCCCAGTCTCAAGGAATAAAGACAATGGTGCACAACCTTGTGAGTTATAAAAAGTCAGGTAAGGGAATGCGTATTTTGAGGGACACGCAATCAACCAAAGCTTACAAAATACCTTGTGTATGACCCTGTCTGATTGGAAATTTACCCAAGAACTGTCGAAAAAAACTTTAAAAAACCTTTATTCGTTCAAGACGTCCACTTTCTGGTGGCATCCACACGTAAAGCGTTAAGCCGCAATCCAAGACAAACACATCGCCAGTGTTCAGCGATTGAAGCTTACAGTCCACCTAACAATGAAACATAAAACATCGAATACTCAACCTAAATTGCATAAAAAGATTTCTCTATAAGAAGTCTCAGAAGCAAAACTAAACTTATGATAAATTACCTAACGGCATAAAACTTAAATCTACAGAAATAAAATATAAATTTTCGTACTGCGTTCTTATGTTGTTCACAGATACTTCAAAATTACTTCCTTGCACATCTTTAAGATTAAGGGAAAGCGTGCTAGCTGCAAACATGAAAACTTGAAGTAAAATCCCGTTTACTTGAGCACATCGGACATTTCTTTTTCCTTTGCAGTGTAATAGTCGTGGCTCCCAATCAATGTAGAGATCTTCAACATGAACAAACCCAGTTGGTGCTCCTCCTTTTAAATACCTAAAATCCTTTATCAGAGACAGTTTCTCGTTTAGCTTTTTTTGTTAAACAAGTCTACACATTTCTCTCAATTCCGATTTTAGCTTAGGCCCAAACGTAATCATTCTTCTTTATTAAAACACCAAGTACAAAAAATGCTTAACGCTTAGCAGAGCCGCTCTAGCCCATCATCCGTACCGTAACTCATTGGCCTGATTTTTAGGCACTGCTGCAGCAGACATAGAGATCAACCGCGCGCCGTTCTCGCAGCTCTCATTTTAAACGAATATTTACATATGCTAATAGATGAATTACAGCTTCATTTTTGGGGGAAAAGACAAATTTCAACGTGCGGAACTAAAACAGCTCTGATTTTTTTCTCTAAGTAATAAATTATTCATGAGCCCAACCACCGTCACAGCGCCGAAAGCATAGTGACGGTCAGATATAGTATACAGTCAACCTTCTAAACTCATTTAACCAACTTTTGATTCTGTAAATGATGAATGATAGTTTGCATTATAGAAATGGCTGATGCAACTCACAGGTTTAAAGTTTTTAAGGCAGATTAAACCTTGCGGAGCACATTATTCCGTAATCACCAAAAATTTGATGTTGATATTTAAACTTAAAGATACCAAGATGCATCATTCAAACGGTAAGTGAACCCTTTCTTTAATAATTGGGCGGTTCTCCTTAATCTTCTTGTAATGCTGTTTCCGTAACTGCCAAGGCCTTGATAACATCTCACTTTTATTCGAACTCTTCACTGCAGGGCTGAAGATTGCAATATTTCCTCTTTGTAGCGTTAGGAAATTACGAGTAGTGAGATCAATTTCTGACAACCCAGCATGAGAGTACAAATTTACAGTGATGAGGGACCGGAAACAAGAGTGCAGAAAGTTCAGAATAAAACCGACTTTCACTGCCACAAACAACTTTCAAGGTGCATCATTCAGCAGGTTTTTTGCAAGAAATCTGGGCAAAGTCCAACAACGGAGGAAAGCCAGAGAACAGCTTTTTTTGAAAATTAACAATTTGATGTTTTAAAAATTCGCTGGAGGTTGAGGACATATTAGATATTACAACTGCTACTTGGAGAAACCACATAATAGAAGTGGTAGGTTACAGCATCTTACAGGCATTAAATGGCCAAGGTAAGATCTCACCTCTTTTAAAATCCTAAATAAACGAATTTTCAAATATTACTTCAATTGTGATTACGCCAGATATACTTCTTAACACTACAAGTCAACAGAGCAAGGTCGAGAAGCAATTCATGATCTCTTTCACCACAAAAAGACTGGGCCATAAAATGACTCTTCCCTTTACTTCTTCAGAAGGTGAATAAATGCTGACTAAATTTAGTGCTTATTTATAACCATTTAAAGATTGCATAAGCCACAGAAAAACTTAAAAATCATATGGAAATCAAAGTGATAAACACGTACCTAATGCCGTCTTTGAAGTATGACAGAAACAGTGAAGACTCGTAGTATTGCTCCTGAAAAAACAGTAAAATTAAGTTTTTTGTTCCAGTGTGAGTGACGCTTTTCTCTTATATGCTAAGTTATCGCTTTCAAAACTTAGCTCGCTTCACTTCATAAAACCCTACCTTACCTAAAGCTGTATATTTTTAAGAGCTTAGCGAATGCTTTTATGATGCAAGTGATAAACTGAAGACTGCCAATTAAGCTTCACTCATATTTCTCCATTACTCTTCCCACGTGAGAACTTTCAACAATTGTTTCCATTTTCATAAGTCGGTTGCAACTGAATCTCCCAGTTTTGCAAAAGCACTTGTTGTTCTATACCGAGAGATTCCAGCTGCACTGTCTAAGGAACAATTTTAAAAACATGAATAAAAGCACCAAGTTTCAAATAAAACTATCCCTACCCCCTGTTCTCTTACTCACTCTTCACCCCAAACCCATCCTTTCCATCTTCCTACATCGCTTCTCCTCTGGGTGAGGGGAGAATATCAAGTTTAGTTTTCCTATGAAATACGACTACTCCGTTATCGACAATTAGCTAAAATAGGATATATCTGAAAATAAGAGTAATTTAAATTTGTAATTTTTTCTTTAAAGAGTTTTGAAGAACCGTTAAATACTAATATTTTCCCACTGCAAGTTTACAAATACAAAAGAAAATGACAGCAAACTTTCTGATGTGTTACCAAGAATTCGCGTTTTCTTTCGGTTCCTCTTAATAATATTTCATGTATTTACTTTTCAATGAATTCAGTTCCGCTGATATTTTACAGACTTAAGATTTTTTGAAAAGATAACTGTTCAACAGCTTCTTTCTGACTGGCAGTTTAGCGGTCTTAAAGCGATATCTAAATGCAGTAAAAAGCTCTCTATTTTTAATTGTCGACTACTATTCTTAACAAGATGCTCTGACAGTCGACAGCTGAATGTCAAAAACCATTTATTCATAGCTGAGATGAGCGAAATCTAAGAGTAAAATATTCTTTTTTAGCAAGAACACTTCAAAAATTTTTAGTGTACATCTGCCGTTTTGATTTAATTTGTTACTGAATGCCTGAAACTGAAGAACGAAGAAGAATTCAGTGACTTTGATTAAACTAATAATAAGTCTCTGATAACTTTTATTTTTTTTATTTTTGGTTAATTATTATTTTTTATTGTAATGTTGCTATGTGAAGAATAATAACAAAGCAATTCTAAGCAGTAAAACCTTTGAATTTGAAACTTCTTCACAATTCATGAGAAATCTATTGGAAAATTTTCTAAAGTGTTAAGCAGAAAAAAGCAGAGAAAAACAGTGATGAACAGTTACCTCTCGGTACTGGACAGGAAGTCCGCTTAATGAGTCATCTAATTCAACAGTCTTAAAAGCTGCAGTACCTCGTTCATCCTGAAATAATTTCCTCGAGGCCGCTTAAACAACACAAAGTTAAACAACATTTGAGGTGTAGAATACTTGAACAATCTGATTGCACAATTGGTGCGCAAAAAAATGTAAAACATACTATCGAAGTTTCATTTCCAAGCCAAAAATGAACGTTCCATTGCCCATTCCCCTTGGTCTGCAATTAGGTTTTTTTGACATAAGAAAACATTATAGTTCCTGCAGAAGAATGTTTAGAAAACTTAGCACTAAGGATTTGCTTAACTATTTTGTCTTCCTTGAGAACTATATTTAGAAAACAGAAGAGATAAATTATGATGAGAAGATTAACCATAACAATTCTTTTGGTCTTTTCAAGAGACAGCGATGAAGTAAAAGATAATGTTTGTTATGGCTGAGACGAATTACACATACAGAGCAAAAGTAGCTGAAAATAGTTGTTCTAAAGACACAAGTGAGACACAGCCTACTTACTCTTAAGTGCAGCAAATAACTTTATCCTTAAAAGAAAATTTGTATAAAATCCGTTTTACAGGTAGTTCAGAGATACAATTTGCATCAGTTCAAAATTCTTCATTATGTTATCAAACTCCAAGAAATATTCCAATGAAACACCTTAAGACGTAGTAACTTTCAGCTGCTTTCAATAAGCTACGACGTACAAAAGTCAAAAAACTAATGTCCCAAGTTTATTTAAAAAACCCAGAAGATAATTTGCTTACACGGCGTTGAGTTTTACCCAGACTTACTTTTCCAACAAAAGTTACCAGGCAGTGACAAAAGTTTATGTAGACTTATAAACTTTAACTGTTTTAAGCAGATGAGTCATTTTCTAAATTTCTCAGTTAAGTAACAGAATTCAAAAATTTGAAATCTGTAGAACAAATTTGTTGATTGATGAAAAAGAGTACAATAGCAAACGAAGGCAAATTCCGGATTTTTGATATCTGAACATGTTTCATATTTGTACACAATGGAAAGAGGTTGAACTAGGTCGCTGTAAAATAATTTTTTAACTGAAAAATTGCTGCCGATTTTAGAAATTAAATATCGTTTATAAGAAATGTTTAATAAAAAACTGCTTTTTTTTTCAAATGTAAAACATTAAGCATTTTGAAAAGAACTACAAAATAAATTACAAAACAACTACTAAAAATTTCAATACAATTTTAAAAAATCGAAGTACACACTTCTGAAAAATGAGGAAAGAGGCTAAAATGATTAACGGTTTTGAGCCGAAAATTTGCTTAATTATGTCTGCTCAAAAACGAATGAAGTTTACACCGTTAGTAAAAAAACTGAAAAGGAATCAAGAAGCCGTAATTGTCAACTTACATGTAACACTATGTAAGAGTCACCGCTGTAGAAGCTGCCGTGTTGCGCCTTTGGTAACTTCACCAATGAAAATTTCTAGAAGTCTTCAGTTAATCCTACTTTCAATGGTAGATTTTCCTCCTCAGTTTAATTATTTTCCTTCCACTACTTCTTACAGTTTCTAGTTTTTGTTCCCGCATCCAATTTTAATATTTAACAGTAAAAAATACGGTCTTACTAAACGACACCACCTTTGAAAATCAAATTTCCAACAAATATTTATGCTCAATTACATAAACAAATAATTCCTCAGTACCACAATACGCCATATTTCCAGTCCAACATGCTGACCGACGTTTTTCAGTTCAACATCAACAACAGCACTTTTTGTACTAGTTGTACTCGCTGATGAAACAGTTTTTGAGGTTGATCTTACAGTTTTTGTGGTTTTTGATCGTGAAGTCATAGTAGTCGATGGCATATCTCAAACAAAAATCTGCAAGTCATTAGTATTGGAAACTGTCTCGCTCATAAAACAGAACAAAACAATATGAGTATGAGAAGTAGAAACCTGTTAAGCTGAGTGTTTATTACGCATATAATTTGAAAAGAAGCCGCAATTATTTTTTGACAAATAAAGCAAATGAACAATAAAGGTTTTTCAAAGTTACTAGACAATATTTCTTAGAAACTGCAAACCATAAATATTTCAAAAAACTGAATAGCTGGCAAGAGAACAATAAAATAATGTGATTTGTCACAATGTAAAATAATATATACTATACATAAGTGCTAAATAAAACTACTTGTTAATTACATAAGCCAATAGCTTATGAAAGTGTAATCACCGTCAACTCCTGCCTATAACTGAAAAAAAAACTAAGGCTGAAGATGATGTTAGCATTTTTTATTACAGTAGTACCACCTCCAGATAAAGCCTATTTAGCCAGGCAACTGTTGAGCGCTAAACTCAGTGAATTTAAAAATAATGAAGTCTGTGTGGTGAAAGGTACATCTCTGATTTAGTGTAAGCAGATCAAAAGTACTCAATAAAGTAGGCTTGAAAAAGAAAAATCGTTTTGTTTTAAAACTTCAAAGCCAAAGAGGGCTTCGTGCCTCAAACTTTAAACACCGACATATGTCAGCATAACCAATTAACATTGATTTACCAACGCCATATTGCTAGCCGACTGAAAACCAGATTCAATAAAACTGTGACTTTAAATCTTATTTTCTGGTCACTTGTAAGCGTTAATAATTGAAATTTCTAAAGTGCGAGCTTCAGATATATCAAAATGTATGTTTGCAGCTTAATATTTCAGTTAGTTTTTTCTAAAGACCCTTGAGGTTTCAACAGTCAAGGAAGCATGTCATTTAGTGTGAAAACAAAATAAATTAGTTTTTTACAAAGATAAACTTTCAAACATTTGCTCGTATTAACGACAAATTCACGAAAGACAGGAAGCTTGCAAATGCTGCGAAACCCAAAAATGATAAGTAAGGCTCATTTATTAAAGGCAAGGAAAGATAATAAGAAAAAAGTTTAAATAGAGATGTGAAAATCAGCTAATATTAGTATGTAATGTTTAAGAGGTGGTAATAGATAAACTAGACGTAAAAACTAACAAAACAACTCTTGATCAAAAACATCAGTTCTGGAACAAAAGGAAACAAGGAAAATTTATGCTCAGAACAATTGCTAAAGACTGCGTGGGAGCAAAACAAATAACTTATCTTTAAAACTATCACAGATTCAACATTTTTTTCTCATTACTCTTCACATCCCTTTGGGTACTTGAAAACATTTCTTATATTCAATTCTACTTTGAAAACGTTTAACAACAAAAGTTACGGTAAGAGATCCAAAAGTATACGCGAAAAAAAAATACAATTTCCTTTCTTTATTAAACAGCAAACACGCATCTCCTGCTTCTCCGAGTTTAATGGCTTGTAGGAGTAAAATCAACTACGTAAAACTCACTGTTTTTGCAGAGCAACACGGTACTTTTAGGACGGCAGTGTCGGTCAGAAAATAATGACTAGAAATTATGCTACAGTTGCAAAGTCTAAAGCCGCAGATTTTTTTGTGCCAGGCCAAATAGCGATCTAAACAATAAACACAGAACGTTAAAGGGCTTTTTCTGCTTGCATATACTTATGCGAACCAAAAAAAAAA